AAAATGTGAGCACCCCGACGCCGGGGCGAGTAGGATAGCTCCCCTTTTCATAGAAAAGTCGAGCTAAAAATGGATAAAAACAACCTTATTCATGTAAATATGGGGCAATAACAGAAATTTACCTATTCAAATCATGTAAGTATGGGGCAATGACAGAAATTTTACCTATTAAATCATGTAAATAAAATGCATGTATAATGAATGAGTAATGTAAACCTCTATTGCATGTAAATAAAGGTTAATGCCAATGTTTTATGTAAATGATTATGACTTAATTTCATGTAAATATTAAAAGAAAAACCTGCTATGTTTTATGTAAATATAGGATAAAGACTTTTTCATGTAAAAAATACATGTAGCATAATGACTATTCTTGTAAATATAGGGTGACAAATATCAATAGTCTACATGGGCTGATTGATAATTTCACAGAATTCTGAAAACTGGTAAACACGTAAAACAACAATTTTTCTCTTTTAGTTATCAGCTGGCAATTAGATATTTTATAATCAAGAAGAATAAATGGTTTCCTTAGCATTAACTGTTTGATGTTTTGAAACAGACTGCTATCCTACATACATGTATTCTGAATTCATTAAACATACTAGTGTAAAGTTAAATTTAGCACAAACACAACTGACATTTGTGTCACTTTTATTCTCATTTCCAGAAAATTTGAAGAGGCCAAGCCGGACTGTTTGTTTGCAGCAGCATTTTAAACACCTGGCTTTATTTATGAGCAATCATATCTCATAATGTATTTTAGTTTTTTGCTTTTCTTTTCCAGAATTCAGTATTACAGAAATTCCCCAAACCTATCAATCACTCCTTGTATACTAGATGAGTATGAATGCTAATGGTCTAAAATTAAATGTTTGAAAAAAAATATTCGAGGTAACTATAGTAACATGTATTTCATGTAAATAGATGATGTAAATGAAATCTTTATTTCATGAAAACAAAGGATAAAATAGCATTTAATTTACACATATATAATTTTATCCTAATGGTAAAAATGGAATTGGACCTATTGGGAGCTAGGCTGCCTTACTGAAAAACAATTTTGATTGATGGCATACATGATGTATTATGTTGTGATGACCATAGAAATATTTTCAACTTTTAGAATAAAATATTCTGTAAACTGAGTTGCTTCATAAAAAGATAATATAATTTTTAAAAATGAAACCTGACTTAAGTAATTACCAGTATATTCAAGATGGTTAACTATATTACTGATTGCAAGAGGTGATCAATTGATAAAAGCAAAGATTAAATAAAATACAACATCAAGAAATAAGCTAAATTCATGAATGGCCTAGACAATAATGAATGTTTGATTATCACAAAATACTGGCCTGTCCAGTTAATATCTTAATGACATTTTTTGGTGAAGAACAAAACATTATTTACTACTTAAGTATTTGCTCTAGGCCATTCTTAAAGCATAAAAAGAAAACACATCATGTAACCAAACCTTATTGAAATCAATCTGTTGCTAAAACAAACCAAAACTGTCAATAGTAAAAGTTCAAACCATGCAGAATGAGGGCATTCTGGGAGAAAGATCCCTTGGTCATTTCTAGGACAAAAATCCCTTGGTCAAACTTGATGGTTAAATATAAGCCGAGAGAACTTAGCAAACCTACTCAAAACACAGCATTGCAAATTAAAAACAAAATTTCTAGACTGCTTATAAGTAAGGATAAATTAACAATATCTTAAACTTATCATAGATCTTACTAAGCTAAATGATGTACATGACTGATATATAATTCCATTCTTTATAACCATTGTATGAGTACTGAAAATTGTTATTTCAGCTGAAATGGTTTTTTTTATGGTGTTATAAAATCTATTTCTACTGTAACTAGGAACTTATCTGAAGAAATTTAAATGGAAATCTAGAGCCCTACTTATAAATAATAAATAAAAAAAGACTTTAAATATATACATATTTAGTCAGCTAGAAGGGTAAAACCACTGTTTACTGTACAAGTTATAAGACCTTTCATTATGTTGCACATTTAATCATGCATTTACCATATTTTACTAATTTCTTGGGATAATAATTATTTGCTTCAAAGTAAATAAATATATAAACTGAAAAAGGTAATAAAAAGGAAACATAGGTACTATTCTATAACTATGAGGATTCTAATTCTAACAACATTTGAGCCGCGTCATGACAAAACCAACATAGTGGGTTTGCGACTGCGCAGTCTGATCAGGATCCATGCTGTTCGCTAGCAGTTTCTTTACTTGTTATAGGTGCTGTCAGCGAACAGCATGGATCCTGATCAGACTGTGCGGATTATGTTGGTTTTGTCGTGACGCGGCTCATTTACACTATGTTGTTTTGTTATTAAACTACACTGTTATTTCTTTTTTCTTTTCTTTTTAATAAAAAATAAACTCTTAGTTCAGCACTTATTTGCTATTTCACTAATATCTGTTTGATTTGTAAGTTATCCTTGTGTTTTTTACTGATTTCTTTCCAATACTATGAGATGAATGCTTGAAATGAAGTAGGCTTCAAGCTAAATTTAGTAACATTACTCTAAATTTAAGTCATTTCATCTGCTGAATAACACTAAATGAATGTTGTTTCAAAATTTATATTGGTGATGGTTTGCTACCCGATTTTTAGATTTAAAAATGAAATTTAAAAATTTGACATAAAAATACAGTATATCAAACAATACAAATGATTATAAATAATCAACCTTTAAATATCTTATTAATTTTTTGTTATACCAATTGAATTCATGAAAACAAAGAGTGTAATTGTAAATTAAAACTTCATCCCTTATTAATTCATCAATTTCTAATATAGAAACTTTAAAATCAAGGTTTATTGCATATGTAACGGCTACGTAAATGAAACCTTGTAAAAAATTTCCCTCGCAATATCAAAAGAATTATAAAAAGACTAATAAATAATCAGCAAATAAAACATCAGAGAAATCTCTTTCTTATCTTTTAGTTCACAAAATTATTTCTTGAAACATCTTTTTTATCAGTTTGCAGATGCTATTTTGTTGAAGTTTTTATAATTTTGAAATTAAAGATATTGCGGTAGCGTTAAAACACAACATGCACGGCCATGCAGCCTAGTTGCAAACTTCTCAACAATGTCAAGCTCGTCTTTAGCTGGAGTATAAGACTGAACCAAATCAGAAAAATAGTGCTCTCCATTAATACCCCCAACAATGAAGATCTTGTCATCTAAAACACAAGCTCCCGCCTCACGTATGTTTAAGGTTTTCTGACACAGAGTCCACTGATCCTTGTCCGTCATGTAGTATTCTATTGCAATAACTGGGACGGGAAAACCATAACTGTCTTCAATATTGCCACACATTGTGTAGATCCTACTGTTTATTGTGACCATGTTGTGATTTAATCTCGCATGTGTCATGGGTGTTCTTCTCTCCCAGATATCAGTAACTGGGTCATACCTCTCTAGGTCGTTACAACAGCCGTCAAATTTCTGACCGCCAGACACATACAATTTTCCATTGCACACTGCTCCTGCATGACCATAAACTGAATGATTCATTGATGATTTCACTTCCCATTCATTAGTTGCTATATCGAACACTTCAATGGTACACATAACCAAGTTTTCATCTTGCCCTGCCACTGCGTACAATTTTCCATCATGAGCTAGCAGTACAAAGTCTTTCCTTGCTTCATTCATTGACGTCAGCTCATACCAAGTGTCAAATCTGGGATCATATCTGAAACATCGCGCAGTTGCAATTTCATTATTTTCATTAAAGTCATATTTTCCTCCACAAGCATACATGAAATTGTCAACTACCACTACAGCTGGATGATTCAACTGTATGGTGGCATCACGAAGAAATCCGTGTTGCTTATTTGCAAAGTTATAGTACTCGAGATTCTCTTTGTGACACATCACTAAACATTTAACATCTGCTCGAACCTGTGTCCGCCGAGTCTGAAGCAATGGCTGTTTGCTGACCACTATATGATAGTCCTTCGCTTCAGTCAGTAAGTCGTGACATTCTTTATTGTCCCTCATGAGAGGAACGGTACTTACTTTCTCAACCAATTCCTCTCCTGAAAGCAGCGGCAGACGGACATTTTTCATCAGTTCTGCCACATACTGCTCCCGCTCTTTTTTCATCTTCATCCATCTAAGAACTAGTTCAAACAAATGAAACTCTGATGCAACTTGAAGTCCATTCTCTGCTAGCAGTAACGAAAGTTGTTTATGTGTCAACTTATGATACTGTCCCGATTTTGCAACAAGTTCAAAATTTTCTAACATGAAATCTTGTGAAACTCGATGCGTTGATGTTAATGAATATAGTTCTGACAGGTTCAGGATGTCAACACAGTTTTCTATTGTTATAGAGGATTCTATATATCTGCTACAGAGTTCAACAGCATCGGTCACTTGTAAATGAGTAGCTGCTGAGAGGACCTCTTCAACATTGTCAACTGTTAGACCCATTATACCTATACAAAAATAAGCAGTAATTAAATCAAATGATTATAGGAAAGGATCTCTCTTACAGAAAACAAAATAGATGTAATTATCATTTTGTTAGCTGCCTAATTAGGGATTCCGTAAAAATCTTAGCTTCTCTAGCAATGACATACACAGTTAATTTTTAAGAAATGAAAATCTCCAAATTACAATCCAAAAACAGTAGAACAATAAAATAACTGTAAGAACTTATACAGATTCTCATATAAAGTACTGCTGATGACTGCAGTGTTGCTATGATATACTCTTTACCAATCCAGAATGTTACATAAAACATATAGAATTACCCATGCTGTGTTAGATTAATGCTAAAAATAAGTCATCATTATTAAAGTTTAGATGTTTGAACAAACTCAATGGATTTACGCTGAATCTGCTGTAATCTGAACAGATTAGCCTTTGCAAATCAATAGAGAAGCATGCCAGTTTGCACATCTGTTCAGTCTGACCATGCTCAATACTGTTGACCGCTCAGGTTATGTATTTTGATACTGAAATCCCTAAAACTTTGAATTGACTGTTTCAATAACTTGGCAAATCTATTATATAAATTCAGCAGGTAAATTTTTGTTTAATAACAAAAGTTTATGAAATTAAACATATTGTATTTCTTTAAAGATTCCTGCCAAAGATAAGTAAAACTTTATATCATCAGCTTAGTGCAGTAACAGGTTAACTCCTATTAAATTATAAAAAGAGTTCACCCGTTAATGCATTAAGGTGACAAAATGCACTTTAATCTCCGGCGAAAAAAGTACTGTTACATGTATTTATAAGAGAACAGACTTAATACAGCATGAATGTTAAATATTTCAGAAAGAAGAAAACATAAAAGAAACTAGGATACATAAAAGATAAATTGCTACCTGTATATGCGAAATCAACGACGACCTTGAGTCCATTAGCTGACACACCCTTCAGGTCCACCTTACCCTCCCTGCTCTCCCTCATCTCACCAGTGAGCATGACCTTGAAATAGTCACTGCATGATGCCATGACAACACGGTGAACTTTAAACTCTTGACCTTCAGCAACCAACACATAGTCACAGAACGTCTCCTGTTTGTGAAACTCCTGCAAACCTGTAACATTCAAACTTAAAACTTAATATGACACATATATGTCCTGGGGAGACAACATTACTTATGGTATTCCTAGATATATCTTTTATATCACTCATAAATGTGTTTTTGACAATTTGTTTCTGAAGATTTTGAAGTGGATTTCTTCTATTATTCATGCTTAAGTTCTAACTTTATACACAACAGAGAAAGAGTGGCGACATGGTTGAGTGGTTAACACGTCGGGCTAGTTATCTAATGATCGCCAGCCGCATGGGTTCAAACCCCGTCAGGGGCAAGTCGTTGTTTCCTTCAGCAAGAAACTTTACACTCATTGCTCAGTACTGGTTGGTTCCAGGAACGGATTCGAAAGTGTGTCTATAAGCTTATAGCTTCCTACACAATCAAACTTAAATAAATTCTGTATAAACCAACAGAGAAAGATGACATAATTGTTTTCCACCTTTCAATGTTGAGATACATATAATGATGCTGTCTTAATAACTAATTCTATCAAATGACAATATTTTCATACATGAAACCAGTACAGGTTAGCTGAAAAATAATTCAACATAATCATACATTATCAGGCCTCGACATTAGCGGTGGTCCGTTGGTCCGAGACCACTTGATTTTGGCAAGGACCACCTAATTTTAAAACCCACTGGTCCGTTGGACCACTTGAAATTTCTGGTTGATGCAAGGCTCATTTGGGAGAATGGCGATTTGGTCAAAAACATGTTATATAATTTTGTTTAAAATCATGTGTCCGATGTAGATTTATATGGTTCATTAATCTCTGATTAGTTAAAGAAGTTCTTAAGTCATCGAAAACTTTCATTTTAAGTCGCTAAATTTTGTTTATGCAAGTTAAAAGAGTTAAGAATTTGTGATATTAATTTAGGTACAAAATTCATTCAAATGGTGCTTGTAATTTTGCATCATCCGATAACCACAGCGGAACCATTAACACTTATCTTATGTTACATGTTAATCAACCGTGAGTATCTGATGGTGGTAATTATATGATATCGGATGAACTTAAATTTCAGATACTTGAATAACGGCAGCAAACGAAAGAAACTGGAAAAAATACATCTAGTAATTCTATGCCATTTATCTTTATTTTAACTGTATACAACGATAAAAGATCTGTTTCTTCTAGAGTTAAAATTATTTTAAAAGGTTATTTAAAAATACCCAATGTCAAAAATGGATATCAACCAACAAGCAACAGGGAGATAAAATTCTGCATTATAAATCTGTGAGAAAAATAAGATAAACTATAGTTATATATAACGTTGTTATTATTTTAATAATTTAGATATTTCCTTTTTTAAAGACAAGAATAAGATAATTTATTAGTTTCATTACAAATATTAATCTATAAAAGATCGATACTATGTTATTATCATGATTATATATAAGACGTACCATCCGACGATGACCACGTATCAGCAATGAATATTTGAATAACAGTTAGAAAATAACAGACAGAAATGGCTTCTCTATATTATTTCACTATTCCCTAACTTGAGTTGAGGGAGAAATCACTTCACATAAATAATAGCTCTGTTGTGTATTTTTGAATGAGATAAAAACAAACAAACAAATAACTCTACGATCAAATACCTACTGACTTATTAGATCTAAAAATATCTGTTTTCGTTAAAGGTTAATAATGCATCTTTGTCATAAAGTTTAAACACTTTTTTTCTACACTTGCAGTAAAATGATATAATAATGATAACTGACCACCTGACTTCTGCAAGGACCACCTAACTTTCAAATCTAGTGGTCCGGCTTACCACCTGCTAAAAAAGTTAGTGTCGAGGTCTGCATTATAGTTTTATACATATAACAGACAATTATGTGAAGTTGGAAATTAACCAAGTTTTTAGTCAAAATAATTTTTTATTAGACAAAATATAAATAATTAATTAATAGATTTTTGGTTCATGCATGCTTTGAAAGCTTATCTTGGTCTATTCACGCATACACTAAAATTCATTTGATTCATAATTCATAACTTGCTCCCTGCCAGTTGATATGTTTTACTTAATTTGGTTAATTAATGAAATACAATGCCAAACTTGTATTATTTAACAATTTTTTCTTTCAAGCATGCATGTAGTTTTTTTTTAATGAAAACAAGATACTAGAATTGATGTCAAATTTCAACTGCACATAATAATTGTCCATTATATTGTGATTGCTTCCATTACAATAAAAATGTTAAACCTGCATAAGCGAGTATTAGAAAAGTATCCTTAGAACTTACATGTAGGTGTTCCAGATTTGATCCTAGCTGTCCTTGATTAATGTTTATTTAGTGTATATTGTGTATTAAAGTTAAATTATAATTTATCTTTACAACAGGCCTGAAAAGTAGACATTTTAACATTAGGAACCAAATTGTTGATCAGAATGTACAGTATAGTAAAAAGGAATGAAACTGACTCAATTCAGGTGATCAGCAGATGGCCAACAAACCTTGACTGACCTCTTTATATATATGTACATAATAAAATAACATGCTCTGAATCTTAATAAATTTATAGAAAGCTAAAAAAGATTAATACATAAAATGTATGTTAAACTTAAACATCAAACTGGTCATGTGGTGATATCATACCTCTAAGAAGTTTGAAAGAATGGTTCTTTGCAATCAGAGCTGTTGCAGCATTGGTTCCAGAATGAGGAACTTCCCTCGATGACTGACGTTTCCTTGGTGACAGAGGCATTTTCTATTGTCCCATTATATCTCTAATAGCATTCTTGGGTACTTTAAATAGACAATGTATAAATTATCAACAACTTTTGACTTTGCGGCACAACGTATTAAAATATTCATTTAAAATAGATACATATATATTACTTAAATACAAAACTTCAGTGACTTTGAACTTTTTACAAACATAAAAAAGGTTTGCAGTGATAAACAACATGCCATAGTAACTTTATATTGTATTTTATTTAATGATCAATTTAAATATAAAAAAAATGCACTAGTTAAACAGCTTATATGGGCGTCAAAACTAATGACTCTAGGATATATTTAAAATATATTTCATACATTTAAATTTTATTTCATGGTGTATATCAAACTAATGAACATTGACGACAAAAAAGGTTTAAATGTGAACACTTCATAGTGATCTTTAGCTTTCATTACATATACATTTTTGTATTTCACTACTTGAACCTCACTTTCTCAGTCAGTGACATTGTCATATCAAAAGTGTTAGAAAATAGATCTACTTAAGTTACAAACAAAACAAAAATGTTTTTTCCTGTAAAGCAATTAGAATTTACTAATCACAAAGTACACATAATTATATCTATACCTAATCATATCCGATCGATTACAATATATCAATTATTTGATCTCTTTGGCCTTGACCATTTTTGTCATGTTTACATCTTGGAATGAGAAGATATCACTTTTTATTGTAGGTAGCGCAAAACAATGCTATGTTGAATATGATATTTATTTACAATAAAAATATAATGTAGAATGTAATAAGAATAGAAGATTTGTATCGAAATAAAATCAAAATAAGATAAACTATTTTTTGCGTTCATTCATGTAAAAATAAATTAAATCATTCTATGCACACAACCTTTGCTACTTATGCAGGCAAATGGACTAGCCCATTCCAATTCAGGGGACGTCACTCTTAGAACAAAATAAATTCCAGGAAGTAAGATTTATCGGTAAGCTAATTTCTGTAGAGATTGGTATGAAGTTTACAGCAATATATATTCATATTCTTATAAATTTTCATATAATCACAAATTTCTTACCTAAGTCGTTTTGTCCTGGTGCTAAATTTTTGTAAACGTCTAAATTTTCTATAAGTGCACTAGTTTTCGGATAGTGTTTATTTAACAATTTGTTCAAATTATGAGAAAATTCATGAAATATAACAGTAAATAATTAATACCATTTTGTATGGTTACATAATTTTTCATTATTTGTCTAATGCAGATGCTTAAAGACACATTATGCCTCAGAAATGAATGAGTATTTACTTCTTTAGAGAGGAAAACATGAGTTTTATAACATTTAATTAAACTGTTAATGGATTTAGAGCATGTTACATTTTTGTTACTTGAAGAAAATATCACTAAATGTAAAAAAAAACATGTCATTTAAGGCACAATATGTAAATAAAAGTACTATTTTGACTTCCAAACAAAAAAACTTAATCACTTTAAATGTATAGTCAAAAGATATTGACATGCCAAAGCTTGAGTGTGAGATATTTTCGTGCTGGGTCAGAATCTGGCTTTTAGGGGCGAGATATTGCCCAGACACGAAAATAGCACAATATCTTGTCGCGCAGTACAATTAGTTGGACTATGTAAATGTACTAATTGCCAAAAAGCAACAGAAGGAAATAGTGCAAGTGACTGCTCAATTAGTAACTTATATGTTGGAAAATATAAAAGAATACCAAAATAAAAAGATTTTGAGAAATAAAAATGAAAGCATTTCTGAGGCATAATATGTAGTGATTTTTTTTCAGACATGGCAACTAGTGGAATGGCCAGTCGGCCTATGTCAAAAGTAGAGTTACGAATTTCATGCAGAAAACTGTTGAACAAAGATATAACCTCTAAATCTGACCCGTGTGCTGTATTGTTTGTTAATCAAGGCTCACAGTGGATTGAGGTAACATGATGGCATAATATTTTTAAAAGTGACATTATCTTCTAGTTAAAATGAGCGTAATTGTTTTTAGATTATTTGACTCTTACTAATATTTTTTTATTGATTAATTTGAAAATTATGGAACTTGATTTATCCTGCACCTTTGCTTGGATTTATTTATTATTAATTTATAGTAACTGTGACAGTCAAATGTCATTTTCTTATATTGATGGGAAATGTCACTTGAAATTTCTTTTGTGCTTTGAGGTAACATGATGGCATAATATTTTTGAGTACATGTAATATTAATACCGTCTAAAGAAGAGTTACCATTCATTTTTGCACTTTATTTTTCTTTAGTTTAGGTTTTGTACTGAAAGTTTTTTCTTAAGAGAGTTTTGCTTGGTAGTACTATTCTAACATTTAATTAATCTAATGTTTCTAAACCTCAATTTACCATAACTAATTGTGTTATGATCCAGCCAGTGTCATTTAATAATCAGTTCTGTTATATTGTTGCAGGATTAAGATTTTTGAAAATTTATTTGATCAGTGTACAGGGTTAACTTGTGTTGCCCAGTTGCTCATTGTACATATTTGTATATTTTTGTTAGAACTGCAATTTTGGTAAAGAAAACATATATTTCAGCATGGTAGAACAGAAAATGTACAGAACAATCTTGATCCTGACTTTTCCAAAGCTTTTTCTATAGACTATATGTTTGAAGAAGTTCAAAAGGTCAAGGTTGCAGTTTATGACCTTGACAATGACACACCACAACTAGGTGATGATGATTTTTTGGGCCAAGTTGAATGTACTCTGGGACAGGTAATATATTTTCAGGTTTATAAGCTCTGGACATCTATTGTATGGAAATGCCAAATTTTTAAACTAAACAGTGAGGTTTTCCACAGTATGATATTGACACATTCACATATGTCCTTGACATATACACATATATCCTTGCCACATACACATATGTCCTTGACATATACACATATGTCCTTGACACATACACATATGTCCTTGACACATACACATATGTCCTTGACATATACACATATGTCCTTGATATATACACATATGTCCTTGACATATACACATATATCCTTGCCACATACACATATATCCTTGACACATACACATATGTCCTTGACATATACATCCTGCAAGATATATCACTAAATGATTTAAGATAAGGAAATTGACTTTTACGATTAATGGATTCTTGAATCATTAGATTGAGATTATAGAACTGTCTCTATAAAAGGTTTTGCAAGTTATCAGGTCATAACATGATTGTTCTTTTGTGAACTGCAACTTTAGTGCTGAGAAAATTTGCAAGACTATAAACTGCTTTGTGCTTACTTTTCTTAACCCATTACTTCATGAGCATTTTGTGAAAAATGGCTGTTTTCATTGAAAAGCCTCCTGTTACAAGTTCAAATTGCTATGGAACTATCAAAAAGGCTTCAATACTGTTCAAACTTGGCCTTGACCATAGCCTTTGTAATGTCATTCTCAATCTTAAATTTCCTGTTACCATGGCAAAGAGGGGGGCATCTCAAAATTGCCCAAAATCACTATTTGCATTGATCTTTCCATCAAAACTGATTTCAAAGTGCTGCAACTTCTCAATGGATTGAGATAGCGTCAAAGGCTTTGCAGCGTTGGTTTCACATTACCTTAAGGTCAACCTGAGGCCATTTTTAGCCTCTCACAAGTCCAAAATTTTCTTGGAGATGAGGGGGTCTGCTGACCCCTTTCAAACCCCTAAACAAAAGATGGCACATCCCCCCTCTTGCACCCCCTTGATGTATCTATTTTATAGGGGACAAGTGTTTGGGGTCTAAATAAGGCATTTTTTCACTATTTGAGGCCTCAAAAAGGGGGGGGGGGTAAAAAGACATCTATATGAAATAATGGATATTAAACTTATGATTAAGAAAAGCTATATTGATGATGTATGTTTAATGATATCTTATGTAATCATTTAAATGCAAATGCTATAAGTTTTTTTTTATACATATAACCTTTTCAATAGTCTCTTAGGTAAATTATATTACAAAATAAATGATAACTTACTGGTTAATCAAGTGACATTTTACATACAATATATATTCATAATTACATTGAACAGAAATCTTTTTGTTACAGATAGTGGCTGCCAGCCCTTTTCAAAAGCAGTTGGTTCTTAAAAATGGAAAACCTGCAGGGGAAGGCAAAATTATTGTAAGTACTGAATTTTTCAATGATTGTTTTTTTTTGTGTGATACACAATAACTTAATAATTTGTATGACATCCTTAAATTCACTGCATCATACTACTAGCAATTTATGACATCATCAAAATTATGTCTTAAATACACTGTAACTTGTAACTGTAACTTGTTCTGATACTTTATAGTATCATCAAAATTTTGTGTAAGATATATGTTATCAAGTGACTGTTATTTTCAACAGAATCATGATTCTGTGCATATACATTGTAGTTCCAACATCTTCTTATTTTACTTTAAGGACTAGGCTATAATTTTGATGAGCTGTATGGACAGCATTTATTGATATATATAATTGTGATTTTAATGTTTGTAGAAATTTTTGAGTGTTACAATGTACAAAATTAACATATCAGAAAGAGTTGATATTGATTGATTAATGCTATTGTAGTCTATACCTATTTCATTGCTTCTAATACATATGTAATGATATAGCGAATAAACAAATAAGTATACAGCAAAAGTAAAATGACTTGGTAAACAAGTTCTTCAATAACATTGTAGATTAAAACCTTTTCTAGATACTATTATAAATTTTCAGATCCGATCAGAAGAAGTAAAAGAAGGTGGGGAAATTGCTATTTGTACATTTAAAGCTAGAAAGCTGGATAATAAGGTGTGTACCAGAAATATTTTTCTTCTTTTACCCTGGGCCTGCTGGGGGTGACTGAGTTTACCCATGTGTGACCATTGCAGACCAAATCCATGCATATTTATAAGGCATGTCAGAAAATGTTACCTAGTTCAATATGGAGCCTAGCATTGATACAGTGACTAAAATAATAAGCCTGTACATCTTGATCATGATACATTCTTTCAAATTTATATCCATCTTTTATGTTTGTTAAAAATTGATACAGATACTTTCACTGAAATTTAAAAAAAATATTTTAAGTAATAATTTTATTGTGAAATACAATACCTTGGAAATATTTTTAGGATTTTCTTGGCAAATCTGACCCATATTTGGAGATATTACGAGGAAATCCTGATGGTAGCTGGCAAGTGGTTCACAGAACAGAGGTAAATTTTTACATCATTATGTTGTAAAATCCTAGACTATATAACTAAATGCATTTTTATTTATTATTGGAGACACTTTTTTATTTTATTACTTTGCATTTGTCTGTCAGTAGATCCGTTTGTCCGTAGACCAAATGGTTTCAGATCAATAATTAAAAAATGCTTAGGCCTAGGAACTTTAAACTTGGTATGGACACTGGGGATTGTCAATGACCAGAAGATGACCCCTATTGTTTTGGGGGTCTTTAGGTCAAAGGTCAGGGTCACATTGACATTAAACATCAAAATGGTTACAATTAATAACTGAAACTGCATAGGTGCATTGGTCTTGGCCGCTGTTGATTTTGGGGTCAGGGGGTCAAAGGTTATGGTCACATTAACCTAATATGTCAAAATAGTTTCCTATCAATATCTCGACAACCCATAGACACTTGACCTTCAAACTTCACAAATTCACTGCCTTTGGTCAGAAGATGATGTCAATGGATTTTTGGGGTCAAGGCATCAGAGGTCAAGATCACATTGACCTTATAGGTAAAAAACGATTTCCAACCAATAACTCAACAGTTCAAGTTGCCTTGGTTTATATTTCTTATTAAACTAAAAATGCTTATGGTATACACATTTCAAGGTCAAATGTACTGTAACAAATTGCTGTCATTAAAGAGGCCTACCTGATTCATTAAATTTATGCATATATTATTTGGTAAGATTTGTGATAACTTTGTCATAAAATTGCTGCACACAATCTTTACAGTCGCAATGACCTAGTGACTAGTCATGACCAGTAGGTAACCCCTATTGATTTTTTGGTCACTAAGTCAAAAGTCAGTCACAATAATCTGGTCTCGTGACTAATTGGGCATACATGTTTTACAAACATTTCTTGTTATGATATATTTGAAAGGAAAAATGAAAGTGCCAAGATTTTTTGGACAGGTTATATGGTGTTGTATGAATAGTTATATTAAATTTATTATATAACCAATATTGCTAGGCAAAGGTTACTTAACAATGTTCCTTTTACACACTGCAATGTAACCTTTCAAATGCCTTTTAAACTATTCTAAATTTCTGCAAAGTGCTTACTTTGATATAAATAAATTTTAGGCATTGACAATTTAGCTGTAAATATGAGATGAATTGTGTAATAGGTTTGCTGAGAAACAAAAATAAAGTTTTTTTCTATTTAGATGTGATAATATTTGTTTAACTCTCAAGATGCCTTTATAACTTTACAGGTGGTGAAGAATAATTTAAATCCTCACTGGAGACAGTTTACTATACCAGTCCATACACTGTGTGGTGGTGATAAAACAAAACCAGTCAAGGTAATTAGAATATGTTACATGTTGATACATGTATGTTCTTTTGTATGTTATACCATCAGTGTATTACTGAAGGCTAGGAATTTCCCGATTTTTTTTCAAAAATGGCCATGTTGTAGTATTTTCTGTATATTAATTTAATTTTTACAGAATTTATTTTAGTTTTTGATTGTGTAGAAAGCTATAAGGTTATAGACATACACTCGGATCAGTTCCTGGAACCAACCAGTACTAAGCATTAATAATGATTGAAAGTTTCTTGCTCAAAGAAACAATGGTTGGCCCAAGATGGGGTATGAACCCACATGGCCAACAATCCTTGGTTTACTTTTCCACTCAGCCATGCCACCACTTCATTGATGATGTCTGTCTGTCTGTCTGATATACTATGGGGTTTCCTGCTTAAATCAGTCAGTCTATATACATATATTGTAGGATGTTACTACATAAAAGTTAAACTGTTTAGTGTGCATTTTTCTTAAGAATAGCATTCCCTCCTTTGAAAGAATGAATTGATCCATCTTAAAACTCTCGTAAAAATATCTTAAATGGACTTGACCATCTTTTAATCTGGACAAAACCATTCATCATTTTAGGGAGAATTTTATTATAAGTTCCGACAGAATAAGAACAGTGCAGCACATAATCAAACTGCACAGAAGTGCTGGTAGATTCTGAAATGGTAGAATCTTTTAGCAGACTGAGAGTTAATACATGTTAATAGTATAGTATAATAGTCTCCCTCTTTCTACACTAAAACTTGAATTAGAGAATTTCACAAAAAGTGCAAGGTCACCTGGCCTAGAAAATAAGCACTGAATTGTTTTGTTTTTTGTTTTTTTTTTCTTTTCAAAAAGTCATAACTTAGCAATCTAATTGTATACATGGTGTCATTGTTTTGCCCTTTACTTATTTTCTAATAAGGAGAAAAAAGATACATGTATGTCTGATTATCATAGTTGACAGAAAAAATAACTTGTAACAGCCAGTCTGGGAATTAATGGGGGACAACTGCAATGAGCCTAAAATAGTCTAATTCCAGTCTAATTAGTACTATTTTAGGCTCATTGCAGTTGTCCCCCATTAATTCCCAGATTGGCTGTTAAAATTACTGTAATTATCTTTCTTGTCTTTTATCATTGTGTTACTTTAAAAAATACACTAATTAGAGAAAAATTTGTATTGTTAATATGCCTGTTAAGTAAAGTGTTTTGATACTAACTAATTGAAGTGAACAGTGAGTGTTGTTAAAAATGAAATACATGTACCCTTGCAAAGTTTCGTTTGTATGTATACATTTGATATTCTGTTACTTTGTAGTTTGATGTATATGATTGGGACAGTGATGGGTCACATGATCTGATTGGAGGGTTCACAGTTTCTGTTAAAGATTTAGAAGCTTCAAATGGAAAAGAGGTAAGTCCAGTCTAGAGTTAAGTTTTGTCATGTCACCTTTAGCTTGTTCATGGTCTTACAATTTTTAGCTCACCTGAGCACAAAGTGTACAGAGGCAAGCTTCTGTGATAGCATGAAGTTGGTCATTTGTTGTGGGCCTTTCTTCTTTATCCACTGTTTCTTTAAATTAAACTCATCCCTAACCACAAGGTAGATTTTGACCATGCTTCACTTTATCCTAAAGTGACCCAGTAGAATAATTATGTAAATGATTCCAGTTTTAAGCACAATTGGGTCACAGGAGATAAAATATACTTAAAAGTATAAAATATATAAATATGGGCTGACTTAGTTTACATTGGCTTTCATAGGAAAAACACATTTAATATTTCTTGTGGTCTAGACTAGATATATTGTAGCTCAAATAGTTATAGATAGATGTATAAAGAATCAGGCTTTGTTATAGGCAGATCATTAATGATTTAAAAAATGCATGAGGAGAATAAATATAGAAACCATTAATTATTTAAATGTTCAAGCTATTGACTTTCGAATATCTATAGTTAAGAAGTTAACTTCAAAGCTTTGATGCTGAGAAATGCAAAGAAATGAGGCATCCAATCCAAATATTAAAAGATTATTAGTGAAAAATATGTGCAATAGTGTTACTGAATTTCAATGTTTATGTATAGGTTAAAGTTTCTTACCAATTTAATTTTCTAAATACATACTAATAAATTTTAACCGGCTTAGTGTTTTAAATTATTTTTATTAACAGACGCTTTACTAGACTGATTAACAGTTTGCTGATTTACCAAAGTAAATGTGTTAGGATTCATTTGAAATACTGCAATCCTATTGGACAAAAATTAATTTCAAACACTAATTACACATTATCACTCTATAATAATAAATGAACTGCATGTATTTTACAGTGATAATCAGAAAAATATCTATGATCAAGATTTTAGTTTTCTGGTATTAAGTGTACTCTTGAAGTACTAAATAAAAGAATTGATTTTATACAATATTTACCACTGAGTTGCCATAACATGCTGATATCACTGATATATATGGAGTGATTAATTATAAAGTTCAAATAATATATTATTATGACATTTGAAACTTTACATGTGAATAGTTCAAAGCATTATCAGTCATAGAACTGTTGACAATGAAATCTGTTTGTTTATCAAGTATTGGAAAAACCATTCAATTTGTTATCAATTTATCATGGTGTCATGACCATACTGTTGACCACTGAGTATAGCTTGTACATATTGGGCTGATAGATTATACCTTACTTTGTTGACCAGTAAGTATAGCTGGTGCATATTGATATGTCTTGGGCTGATTGATTATGCCATACTTTCTTGACCAGTGAGTATAGCTGATGCATGTTGATATGTCTTGTTTAGAGTGACTGCTCCGACCAAACTTTGTTGACCAGTGAGTGCAGCTAGTGTGCATGGATATGTCTTGCCCATACTTTGTATAGCTAGTGCATATTGATTTGTCTTGCCCTGACTGCTCAGACTATACTATTTTACTAGTCATTGTAGCTTGTGCCCATCGATGTGCCTTCTTAGATAGATGCCCACTCTTGAGTTGAAGTGTGTTAAAGTATGTTGACTGAGTACACCCACTTGTTGATTTTGATAAATAGTGTGCAGTTAAGTTTGTAAACCTGATATGTATTCCTTACATGTTTCTCAAATATACTATGTTTCCCAGATGTCCATCAGATATATTTGTTTTTAAATTCTACATTTGCTTCATTATAAAAATGAATCTGTGAATCAAGTGAGTTATGTAATAACTAATAAGATACTGTTTGCCAGAGACTGAGGAATGTGCGTTACATTGCCTACTGTGTTTTTACCTTTACAATGACAGATATAAAACTCCTTGAAATTACTTAAACTCTTATAAATGTAGATAATGATAGTAAATAATCAAATATATGTGACACCTGGATACACCTGGATACAGTTTGTTTACCTGCACCATGTTGACACTTGATAATCATGTATGATAAAGTCATTTCAAACATAGATACAAGTTATTGTTGGTTTTGTGGTCCAGTAAAATAGAAAGTTTGTCCAGTATGACATATAGAATTAAAGATTTTTCTATCAAGCTTATAAAGCTTGTGGTCAGCCAATGGCCATAATTAAAGAATCGGGCTAGCCTGTACCTCCATACAAGCTGATAAGGCGTTGTCATCGACTGCTTAATTTATTATATCTGATATTCATTTTCAATTGTCTAAACTAGTAATGGAAACAGTGTAACCTGTATAGAGCGGCCATTCCATGAGCAATTTAACTATATACAGTAACACGGGCAGTATCAATTCTTCCCACAGTAAGAATCCAAATAAATTTAACCTCCCTACAGCAGTACATTACCTCTAAACAACAAATTCTTTATCAAACAAAAGTTGTTCATTTGCAGAGGTTTTACTCAAAGTAAGTGAATTCCAGGTCTAAGGATTAAGTGTTTTAAGAAATAAATCCTAATATTATACCATGATGTTACTATATAAGGAATATTTCAGTACTTCCAAGCAGGCAAGACAGTAAAATTAATAGACAAAGATGAAAAGAAACAATTCAAGTTTTGGTTTAAGATAATGAGGTTAAATGACTTCTGTTATAATGTACTCGAAGTTTACAAAAGGTTTTAATGATTTATGAATTTGTATTTACATCAATTTACTTAATAAACATTATAATAAAGATTAATAGCACAGTCATGGGAATTTAATGATTGCTTGCAATTTTATCTTTTATCATCTCATTTTGTTGCCTTTACATGGCACATAAAAAGAGTTTTGTATCACTATGGTGTCAAGTTTTAAGGAGATGAAAAAAATGGACTTGGCAGGGTGTCGTAACTGTGTGGTTTGCTTGTAGTGTCAGGTTTTAAGTGACTTAATTAAAGTAGGTTGTTTTATTGATTTGATTGTGAGAATGTTAGTAGCAATTATTGTAACTTTGCCACTAGTTTTACAGCTAGATTCAATGTACATCTTTGCACTTTGAAGCTCAACTATATAAAGTTTTATGGAATGTTGACCTACCCACATACCCACACGTTTTGTGCAATGAAATATTTAACTGTATTCCTTTAATGATAATTCTTTACTAGGAATTTATTTCAAACTTAAAGTGCATGTTCCTTATTAATATCCTGTTTAAATGTAACAAGCTTCATAACTCCAGCTCCCATGTTTCTATGATTATCTCACCATAACCCTTTCACTGCCATTACTAAGAGACGGCATATGCCGTCCCTATTGTTTTCAGCGTATTTGCCATATGGACAGCTTTTGCCCTTTCTATAATAATAATGATAATTATAATAATAATAATTATAATAATAATAAATATATAGATAATTATACCATCAACAATAATTATTATATACATGTACTAGCAGATTTGGAAACATATATAATTATTATAATACTAATAACAAATTATGATAATTATATTAATTAATAATATAGTAATTTCTTAGAAAACCTTCTGGCAAATAGATGATCAATAAATAAATAACCCTCTGGCAACGAAATTGTTAAATATTATTATAACTACTTTATTTCTTGAGGAGTGAATATTTTCACTATAAGGGCTGTATAATTTGTAAGGGATACTAAGGTTCCTGTCATCACTCATGTCATAATTTATGATAAGATTCATAACTCTGGTGCCCATATTTTAAGAATTAACTCCCTTTTGAAATTGGCTTAATCTTTTTTTTTTACTATTACTTCTTTATTTGTACAAGAATTTACTAACTTCAAACATAATTTTCCACTTCAACACTCAATATCCTAAGTGGCAAGGTTCATAACTCTGGCATCTATATTTTGTTAGTAATCTAATCTTTGAACTCTTAAGTACAAATGTATTTGATATCCTTTAAAGCAGCATACATCCAGGTTCATGCTAATTTTCATGAAAATTTTGAAAAAGTATCAAAAAGTAAATATTGTCAAGTGAACAAGAAAGTAATTTACACAATTCAAACGGCACTTTCAGTTCAAGTAAATTACCATATAAAGGTCAAAATATGGAAAAAAACAGCCCTTGCTGCATAAGTCACTAAGTAGAAATGCAGTGATAAATTCTGTAAAATTAGTCATTTCTTGCATATAACATGTAAATCAGTACTTGATTTTTGAATATTTTTACTTTCCTTAAAATCTTTGTACATTTTTCTCAAAATTGATTTTTTTAAAATTATTTGGCTCATCTGGAGGTATGCAACTTTAAAGTAACAAGAGACTTTTCCAAATCATACGATTATTCAAGTTCAAAATGTTAAGGGTCAAAACCTGTCATTGCCTGAGGATCTGACACTTGAATGCTGTTTGCCAACCTTTAAGGCTTTCTTCCTTTCTTAATTGGCTCCCTACTTTACAAAATGGGCCTAGACTTCCTTTCTCAATAGGAAGACAGCACACTGATGAAGAAAGAGATCATTCTTCAGCGGAAATAAGATTGCACATTTCTTCTTAAAATTTTGATTGTACAGACATGAACAGGCTCAATCAAATTGTTTAACTTTGTCGTTTTGGGCATTCTTTAGGGATTCTGTTTTTCTCTTTTTTACTATAAATATATAGAATTGATAAGTATAGCAGTATTTAAAATTTATTTAACTAATCAATACAGTACATACATAATACGAAAACGAGAGTAAATTAATAAACAACATAATAAATGATCAGTAAATTAAACAACACAAGATCATTACCTTACGAGCTTTATTTAGGTAAAAATGTTTACTGGTTTTTTGTGGAGAAAGAAATTGATATTTTTTTTTTTATTTTAATGATTATTTTATTACATTAATAGCAGAAAAAATTGAAATATTTGGCAGACTTATAGCTTCAACAGTAGACTGTAACATACAATAGATACATTAGATAGTGATATAAAATAAATATAATAATGATATGAGCCGCGTCACGACAAAACCAACATAATGGGTTTGCGACCAGCATGGAT